GAGTGAAATCTGGCAACGCTAAGACCGGCACCGTCGTCATCGCCTTCTTCAAGCTCTCAAATGCTGATGTGGCTGCCTCCCTCCATAGGAACCCGTCCTTCTTCAACTGCTCAGTAACTAGCCATGCTATGGAACTATACCCCTTTACGAACATTCTGTAGTAACCTGTCAGTCCTAGGAATCCCCTTAGCTCCTTCAGATTTTTTGGTACTGGCCACCTTAGCATTGCTTCAATTTTGGACTGATCAGCTGCCACCCCTCCTTTTGAAACCACATGGCCCAAGTACTCTACACTGAGTTGTGCAAAGCAACATTTCTTTAAATTAGCCCTCAACTGGTGCTCCTGCAGTACCTTTAACACCTTTTTTAAGTGCTCCCAATGCTCCTCCTCTGTCCTGCTGTAAATCAGGATATCCTAAAAAAACACTAACACAAACCGTCTGAGATAAGGTTTAAAAACCCTATTCATCCGGGCCTGGAAAGTCGTTGGGGCGTTGCTGAGACCAAAAGGCATCACCAAAAACTTATAATGGCCTTCATGAGTTCTGAAAGCCATCTTGGGTACACCCTCCCTCTTTATCCGGATCTGGTGGTAGCCTGATTTCAAGTCTATCTTGCTAAAAATTACAGACCCACTCAATTCATCTAGGAGCTCGTCAATGACGAGTATTGGAAACTTGTCCAGGACAGTCTCCTTGTTGAGTGCTCTGTAGTCCACACAAAACCGACAGCTGCCATCCTTCTTCTTGACCAACAGAACGGGACTAGAGAAAGGGCTGATACTGGATCTGATGATTTCTGCCTCTAACATTTCTCTAATCAACCGTTCAATCTCATCCTTCTGGAACTGAGGGTAGTGATAGAGCCGTACGCTGATGGGTGATACCCCCTCCCTCAAAACGATGGCATGCTCCCTCTCTCGCAGCAGTAGTAACCCCTGAGGTAAGTGAAAAACCTCTTGGAACTGCTGAATCAAAGGCTGAATTGAGAGAGGGATGTCCCCTCCTTCCTCCAATCTTGCTCCCTCCAAACTGTGCAGCTCCACCAAATTCCCTCCGCCTGCCAATTGAATGTCCCTCACCATGGTTTTAAGAGAAACTAGGGATTTGGAAAGTCCCGCATCTCCCTTGATTACCACCTTCTTTCCCTCGACCGTCAGCTCCATCGTGAGTGCTCCCTAATTCACCTTGGTGTCCCCCAAAGTTTGCAGTCATTTCATGCCCAAGATGACATTTGTACTCCCAAGCTCCAGCGGAAGGAAATCTTCCTTCACTTGTATCCCCTGAATCGTCAGTCGCACTCCTCTGCAAATCCCCTGACCCCTCTCCATCTTCCCTGTGCCCATCATCACCCCATAACACCCAGTGTCCATCAATCTCACTCCCAGTTGATCAACGATCTGTGTGGAAATGAAGTTGTGAGTCGCCCCACTATCAATCAGCACCACCACCTCCTTGTCCTTTATCTCTCCCCTCACTTTCATGGTGTGATTTGTAGTGAATCCCACCACTAAGTTCAGGGAAACTTCTGTCATATCCAAGTATAGCTTCTCCTCCATCTCCTCCTCTGTCTCTAGCTCACCTCCCTCCTCAATTTCCTCGTCATCGCAGACGGTGAGAACCTGAAGAGTTTGGTCCTTGCACCGATGCCTTGGTGTGTACTTCTCATCGCAGCGAAAACACAACCCCTTAGCCCTCTTCTCCTGCATCTCTTTCTCTGTCAGCCGTTTGAAATTTTTGCCATTTCCCCCTCCTCCTGTCCTATCCCTTGGTGCTTCTCGTGGTACTCCCTGGGCAGTTCCCTTGGGGGCTAGGAAGGTAGTTGTCATCTTGTAGGATCCCCCAGAGCTACTGCTACGAGCTCCCCTCTCCAGGTGCTTCTGGTCCTCCACCAGCTGTGCCAACTCCATGGCTTCTCCCAAGTCCCGTGGTCGCATCACCCTAACAACTGCTCTGATCTCCAGTTTAAGGCCCTTCATGAAGTTCCCCTCCAACACGGTCTCAGAGAGACGATCCAGCCTGCTCGCGAGGTACTTAAACCTGTCTCGATAATCGGCGATCGTTCCCTCCTGTGTCAAGGCAAAGAACTGCTCGTAGAAGTCTCCTCCCCTACTGGCTCAGAAACGCTCTAGCATACAGTCCTTGAACTCCCTCCAGCTTCAAATAGGCCTCCTCATGTCCCGCCACCGGTACCAAGCTAATGCTTTCCCTTCCAAACACAGTCATGCTGCTGTTAATTTCTCCTCCTCGGTCAACCCATTGACCATAAAGTATCGCTCCACCTTATAGATCCAGCCATGTGCGTCCTCGCTCTCAAATATGGACATCTTCAATTTCCTCACCCTCGAGTCTCCTCAGTTTCCCCTCGCTCCTCCAAAACCTCCCATTCCCCGAGGGGGAAAAGCTCCCTAGTGGTAACGAACCTCCCTCCGCCGATCATACCCCTGCCCTTCCTCATACTCTTCCCTTCGTCTCTCCTCCTCAGCACCTCGACAGTAAAACTCATCCCTTCTCCCAAAAAATTCAGCACCCCTTCTCTCATAGCCCATGCTCATATCCTCCCTAGAAAGTGGTTCTAGCGGAGGCATTCCGTCATTCCCATCAAGGATCTCCACTTCGGTAGTCTCCCTCCCCCTCAATGGGTTCGGGTTCCCGTTTCTCCCATTGTCGCCGGTGGCCTCCCTTGCTTCTGCTATCGTCGGGTTTGGTTTGCTCTCAAACATCTTCTTCATCATTTCTTTTAATGTCGTGAACCTTCCATCCATCTTTTCATGGATGGACGCAAATTGATTTTGAAATTCAATGGTTCTTTCTTCCAAATCGGTCTTCAGTTGGCTGATTTCACCCTCCATAACTTCTACTTTTCGTCCGACAATCTTCTCTTCCACGGTAACCGAGAATTTCCCTTGCGGAAGAGGTTTCCTTGCTGAAATTTCTGAATTTCAGCCGCCGATGGTCCCAAGATGATGCTCTGATACCAATTTGATAGGAAATACTTGATTTCAAGTAGTTCCTGACCAAAGTCTGAAGCAAATCGTAATAATTCCTGCAGCAGGAAAACAACAAAATCTGGACCAAAACAGAGAAAACCTGAGGAAAATGGAGAAAAACTCGCCCAAACACTTGTACTTTACTAGAAGATGAAAGAAAAATTGCAAAGATACAAAGATCCTCTATTCGAGAGGAGGATCGCACTCTCCCAATCTCTAGAATTCGTTCTAGAGCCCAAGCCTCCAAGAAAACCCTAATTGCAATCAAACAAAACATGAGAACTCCCTAATTCCCTCATCCCCTTTAATACAAGATCTTTCCTATTTTAATTTCCCTCCCAAATCCTAATCTCCTCACTCCGTTTGAAATTTCAAATCTATTGGCAAAGTGGGGCCCACCCCCATTAAGCAAATCCAGCTAAAGGAGGCGGAAGTCTCCGCCTCCTATAAACCAGCGGCTAGTTCTGCCGCTGGTTCTGGACCAGTTCACAAAGAACCGGTCTAACATAATTACCTTACAATCTTTATAAAAATATTCTTCTTTCCAAGAATAAATATATTTGTAATTTGATGACTCCACTTTTATAACTAACAAGTTTGCTTCATTTCTTAAAATAATTGTTCGCAACTACTATGAAATAATGTATAGCTTCTCCCATTATATTCTATCTCCTGCATGGTTTAAAATTGCGCAATATGAGGCTCGACTTGAGGCCCGCCTTTGCGCAATTCCAATAAAAAACGCCTTGATGCTTACGCCTCGGGTTTTTTTTATGAGGCTTGCGCCTCAACTTGGTTGAGGCCCGCCTCGCCTCACTGAAATTTATCATTTTATGTTTACGCAATCTTTTGATTTTGAGGCTTACGCCTCAAAACGCCTTGAGGCTTACGCCTCGCCTCACAAATGAAAAACGCCTCAATACCCGTATACGCAATTTTAAACATTGATCTCCTCTTCCCTAACCACAATGAATCCTCTCATAACTCTTCCTGGCATAACCTATTTGAAAATTTAAATCACCTCCAATGACTATCTTTTCTTCACTAGGTATATTTTGAGGAAGTTCATCAATTCATAATAGTTACTTTTTAAATATTCCTAATCTAACTTGAGCCAAATAAGCATTCACCACATTAATAATTTCTTCGGTGATAATCATCTTAACAGCAATCACCATATCACTAACCCTATTAACCTCAAAAAAAATTTCTTTTAACTCTTTATACACTACTAGCCCAACCTCATTCCTATTGTTAAAATTTTAAACTTACACTAACTTCTAAACTTACACCATATCATGGACGTTCACCTTTATATTTATTTTTTTGAAAAAAAGAAATATTTATTTGTATCTTATCTTAGTGTCCACTATTTATCTTGTCTTTGCATTCAAATTTTCGAAATTCCATATAACAAATCTAATATTATACTAAACCTAGTCAACCCTTACTTTTCACCACAATTAGAGGAACTTGAAATAAGTCACTTAATGTTGATGTATTAGCACACATTTTCTTAATTTTTATAATAATTGAGTTAAATTATAGTGCTACACTTAAGGGTGACATTTTAGTCCACACACACCGACTTCACGCTACAAACAGATCAACAAAATATATGAGCTCAGAGCACTCCTGATACTTACCCACTGGCCACTACAGAAGAACTCTTAAAAATTTATGAACACACTTTAACTCACAAGAGTGGCAACAAAAAATATGCCAATAATCCAGCTAATGTGTATCAAATGAAGATAAAAAAATATCATGCAAGATAGAATAACAATTTCCAAAGATTTGGAAAAAGGGTGGAGGCGTGGAGCATGAAATCATAACTTTAGTGTAAAAAAAACAGCATAACTCAGATAACTACATCTGCATTCAAATAAGGAGGAATCAAGCAGAAGACGGTCAAGCAAGGAAAATCTCCAATTATTAAAAGGCTTCTAATTCTGAAATTTTACCCTTACGATCAACTTTCATGTCTCATAATAACTTTAGAATAGCTTACCACAGGATGTGAGGGTAAAAATGGTGCCAAGTGTTTCTTTACTCCAATGGGTCCCATGCCAGGTCCCCCTCCTCCATGTGGAATGCAGAACGTTTTATGGAGGTTTAGATGGCAAACATCTGCTCCAATCCAACCAGGGCTAGTTAATCCAACCTGCACACAGAACAAAGGCTTCAATCGTGATGTGATATACACAATTTTCAACATATACCCAAAAAAGGGTAGTGCATATGTAAAAGAAAGCCTTGAAGATTGTTCTTTGTGAGCATAAAATGAAGCACCAAAAAATCAGAATATTTGTGTTTCTTAAATCCGTCACTAACTTGATTTAATATTCATTCATTTAAACACAACACAGGAGTGCCGTTTGAGTCAATCTAGGACAATCCAACTATACAAGCAAGCGAAGTAGATAAATGTAATAACAATGATCATAATATCACCTAGTACTCTTACTATATTAAAGTTGGAAAAATTAGGTTGTTCATAATTGCTAATAATCTATAGAAGATACTTCTAGAAATAATAAGATGATCCTAAAAAAGATCTCAGGTAATTCCAACTCTTAATTTCACTGACAACTCAAAAGCAAAATGCCAAAACAAGAATATGCTTTTCAACGCCAAAAACAAACAAATCATGTTCAAAAATACTGAAAAATATGTAGCTTAGAGAAAACAAACTGACGGAAATATTCAAATAAATGTTAAGAAAGTAATCACAATTCTTTTTGTACATTTCCAATTATAGGTTAATATGAGTTTGTAAGCAAAACATTGGCATCATCCTGATTAGCCTCATACCAACAGTTTAGGATGTGGATAAGCATTACGAACTCTTCTTCTCCACTGATTGTAAAGGAGAGTCGCATAAGATGCTTTATAAATTTTCCTTCAACAATAATTGCTGATGAGAGCTACATGCCGTGAAAATTCTATTTTGCCTAAGTGGTTTCTCCGCTTTTAGTCATGTTATATTTGATCTATCCATTACTACTCATAATCTAATCCTATTAACTATATCTACTTGTCCTCATTAATAGGTCTTCTACCTTCACACCTAAATCACCAAGTCTATTTTGAATCAACTTAATTTAAATGATTGCAAATCCAACCATCACTCTATCTTAATCATTTTCTGCATGTATCTTACAAGTTTTACACCAAATACATTAAAACATTTTCATATCTTAGTGAAGCATGCAAAATCTTAATGACTCATCATAATCTAAGCCAATAGTGTTCTTTAAAAATGGTAAAAAATCCTTCATAAGTTCATCTCAGCATAATAAATTATCAAACAGTTTCATGTGATCTTCACAAAATTTAAACATATTCACAGACAAGAAATGCTAATTGCAATTAACAGGCTTTCCTAGAGAGTTGGTGAATTCATAATGCCGAACCTGAGCATTCATGTTAGCACCATCCATGTACACTTGACCCCCATTTTCATGGATTATTTTGCAAATTTCATCAATACCTTCTTCATATACTCCATGCGTTGAAGGGTAGGTAACCTGCGCACCCACCAGAACATCAAAATCATCATCATGGAGATTATGTTAACTTAAACAAGTGTAATATACTATACTATGGAAATGAAAAATGACTAAACCATTTGAAGTATTGAGATTCAATATCATTATTCCGTGGAGTGTCAATAAGTTTGGGTGTGCAGATTCATATAATGATATTTTATCTTACAGTAAGTTAAAGAATCTAAAATTGAGCATCCATACCATCAAAGCAGATAAGTCATTCTTGTGGGCTTCGGCAGCCTTTCTTACTTCCTCAATGTTAATGTTTCCCTTCGAATCAGTTCCAACAGAAACAATTTTCATACCGCACATAGCTGCACTAGCAGGATTTGTCCCATGAGCTGAGACAGGTATAATGCAGACATTGCGATGACTATCTCCTCTTGACTGCATTTCAACCAAACAGTTCAGTATGTAACTTGATTTCCAAAGCTCAAATCTGCATTACTACTAGAGAATTACTCATAGTCTTGACGGTAAATAACACCCCTACCAAATGGTAAGCACGAATAACCATCAACCCTGCATATTCTCCAGCAGCGCCAGCATTTGGTTGCAAGGAGAAAGAATCAAATCCTGTAATTGTACACAAGAGTTCGCCTAAATCTTGGAACATTTCCTGCATAAGGAAGACATAGTAGGTCTACTCAAAATTCAAATTTCTTAAAAAAGATTGCAATAACCGAAACTATATCTTACCTGATAACCTAGAGCCTGTTCGGTTGGGGCAAATGGATGAATATTTGCAAATTCAGGCCAAGTGACAGGCATCATCTCTGTTGTTGCATTCAACTTCATAGTGCAAGAACCAAGCGGAATCATGCTGTGGCATAGTGAAAGATCCTTTGCCTGGAGCCTATGCAAGTAACGGAGCAGTTCATGCTCTGTGTGGTACCTAAATAGAACCAAGAAAGAGATGAATACCAGACCATCCAAGACATAGTCATCAAGTAGAACCTCAGGTGGCAGGACCATACGAATTGAAGATTGGATGCGTCAGATATGGGCTTTCTCTTACAAGGCCCTGAGGGATAGCAGTCTGAACGTCTGGAGCAAGAGATTCAGCAGTGAAGTTTACCTGAGAATTTTGCAAACATAAGCAACTGAACAGCTCAAAAAGATTTAGGACAAAAGGGCAGAGCAATTAATCGTCCGCATGATACTAACCGACTTTCCACCAGCAAAAGCCTCAAAAAGCTTATTCACATCATCAAGGGTTGTTGTCTCATCAAAGGACACTGTTATCTGAATTTTCCATTACAATATACATAAGAAAAGGCATTCTATTGCAATAAGCAATTTTTAACTTTTCCTCCCACAATCAAATCACTTACCGTGTTAGAATCCACAATCCTCAGATTCATCTCCTTCTTGTAAGCAGCATCTGCAATGGCTTTAGCATCGGCACACTTAACTTTTACAGTGTCAAAGAAAGGAAGCTCTTGAACATCAACCGTGCCGAGCTTCTTCAATCCATGGGCGAAAACTCCAGCAAGTCCATGAACCCTATCCGCAATAGCCTTCAGCCCCTCAGGGCCATGGTAAACCGCATACATTGCAGCCATGTTGGCGAGCAACGCCTATGACATGGCAAATTTATACCAAGTCAACTAAACTAAAATTTTCTACTTAAATTGAATCGAAATAAATTAAGAAGAGCAAAGCTCACCTGAGCAGTACAAATGTTACTGGTAGCCTTATCCCTGCGAATGTGCTGCTCGCGAGTCTGCATCGCCATCCGAAGAGCCGGTTTTCCACTTGAATCCAAGCTCACTCCAATAATCCTCCCCGGCATCATTCTCTTATATTCCTGAGAGGTTGCGAGGAAGGCGGCGTGGGGGCCGCCATACCCCATAGGGACGCCGAATCTCTGCGCGGATCCAACGACGATGTCGACGCCGAGTTCACCAGGAGGCTTGAGAACGGTAAGGGCGAGCAGATCCGTGGCCATGACCACCTTCACCCCATGGGCGTGGGCATTATTGACGAACTCGGAGTAGTCAAGCACCTCCCCCTCAGTACCCGGATATTGAACAAGCACGCCGCAGACGTCGCCCGATCGGTAATCGATTGATTGAAAGTCAGCCACCTCAACCTTGAGGTCGAAGCCCGCGGCACGAGTCCGGCAAATATCAATGGTTTGGGGATGACAGTTGGATGCGATGATGAACGTTTTCTTCTTACCGCGAAGGATGTTGTTGCACATCGCCATAGCCTCGGCGGCAGCGGTGCCTTCGTCAAGGAGTGAGGCGTTCGACATGGGGAGAGCCGTGAGATCTGATATCATGGTCTGGTAATTGAGGAGGGATTCGAGGCGGCCTTGGGCGATCTCGGCCTGGTAAGGAGTGTATTGGGTGTACCAACCGGGGTTCTCCATGATGTTGCGGAGGATGACGGGAGGAACATGAGTGCCATAATATCCCATGCCGATGAAAGATTTGAAGACGCGATTCAAGGATGCTAACCGCTTCATGTGGTCGGTCATCTGGCTCTCGGTGAGGCCTGCGTCGAACTTGGGAAGCGCCATGGGAGCTATGCGGATAGCTTTGGGGACGGTGGCGTCAATGAGAGCATCGAGGGATGGGTAACCGACTGATTCGGCCATGTGGGTTTGGTCGTCAGGTGGGGCGGAGTTGTGCCGGCGAGGGAAGGTGTCGCTAGGACGCAGTGCGTCGATTGAGATGGGTCGTGTCGGGGTATAGCGGTGATGGGCCGGGTTTCGGCGGACAAATGGCGAGAGGTAGTGGGAAGGGGAGGAGGGGAGGGGAGGGGATTGCTTGGCGCCGGCGATGAGGCGGTTGAGTATTGCACGGCTGGCGAGCCTGCGGGCGCGCTCCATCTCTGTCCTTCGCGTAGACTCTCCCTCTTTTTCTTTCTGTGACTCGCCGGAAGACACAGAAAGAGAGTGGCTACGGGTGACGAGCGTGGAAACCGAGTCCGGAGGCGTCGCCGCCTCGCTTTGCGGGGTCGGAAAGCGGATAGAAATGCGAGCGCGCACGTTGGCGTCGGGATATTAATATAGGCAGAATGGCGCTGCCGGTCCTGGAACTGGAACAAGCTTCAAGTGGTGGATTTTTAGACTGGTTAAGCGTGGCTGTCGGTATTAGGTGTGTGTGGCTGGATGTATAGCGTAGACCATGTTGTGGAAGGTGGGCATTAGGTTAGGTGGACCGGGTCCGGGTCGGGCTAGTTCGGAGAAACGATTTGGAACTGTCTAAACATGTGAACCTATAATTTTAGGATCGGTAGCTAATTCATTAAAACATAATAAATTTTGATTTTATATATCTCATAATAGTAGAAATTACAAAAAAAATAATAATAATAATAATTGCTCATTTTCATTTCATTAAGAAAATATGACTAAAAGTTTATTTCAAATTAAAATAGTATCGTATTTTATCAAATTTGAGTCCATTATGACATATATATTTGAATAAGGATCGAACCAAATTCTAGTAAAATTGGATTCATTTTTCAGCCTTGTTCAAGCCATACTCAGACTTATGCTAATTCATATTTGAATATTATTTGAATCATATTCCAACAAGGCAACAATATAGAAACTATTTTGTGTGAACACCGGACGGTCCGGAGACCAACTAGAATGCGTCACATCATCCGGTACCGAGCAAAAAAGTGACATGACGCGTTCTGGTTGATCTCTGGATACCGTTCGGGATCCGCACAAAATAATTTTCCAGAACATGAATAGAGTAAGGGTCGAGTATAGTTCGAAAATGATTTGAACATAGTTCGAACATGAATCGAATATTGTTAAAATATAAATTATAACGTAGGTTAATACAACTGAGTCAATGAAATCACAGCAATGCTGCATGATAATGCACAAATTATAATTATAAGAAATTTAACCTAACATCCATAATACAATAAAGTTTATGACTGAGATTTTATTTGGGACGACTTTATTACTGCTTCTTAAAGTAATTTTTTAGTACAAAAGTTAAAATTTTTGTCCTAAATTTTGCTTTAAAAACAGTAAGAAAACCATCTCAAATGAAACCTAAGACTTTCCTAATAAGTGGGTCATATTTTTTAACTTTATTTCAAATTACTATGTAGCACAAATAAACGTTATTAAAAAAAAAGTTAAGTCTTAAATTAATAAAGAGTTATATGAAATTTAAAATTTGTTTATTAACAAGTCCTTAATATTTAATGTATATTTTATTTATGCCAATAATGAGGGGAATATTGTAATTATTTATTATTTTATCTCTTCCTATCAATATTGATTTATTATCATCAAAGAGAGGTAGAATGCTAATCTCATAGGCCCATGTGATTCAAAATTTATGTGAAAATAGTAATAAAATTTATATAATGTCATCTAATAATTTATTAATTATTTTATTTTAGCTTAATCTATTTTATAGAAATCATGGAGATGATAGTGTTTCCTCTTAGCAATTTGGAGAAAGTGTCATTTGGAAAAGAGCTAAAGATGTATAATTTAATAATTCTAAGGATAAAATATGCTATTTCAAAAGGTCTATGTTGCTTAGTTCATAATTATTTTAGATTATTATCTTGCCTTTGTTTAATTTACCATATTAATCCAAGGATGATGAACACATGGTTTAAAATATTTTATTATATTTATTTAATATGAGATAAAAATTAATATAAGTATTTAAATTTATATATAATTAAGAATTACTTTTGTAAAATAAATATGATTTTGTACGCCGGCCATGCATAGACCTTGCT